TTAGAAAGGAATGACTAACATTCAACTTTCTGAAAACTGAAACACTGATCTCTATTCTTTCAATTCTATATTTTATAAGCTTATATCAGAAATTATTTGAGCCTAAAAATATATCATCTTCAACCAGTTATCACAGATGCCCACCCCGCCCCGATACACTCCAGCTACATGATTCCCAACTCTCCTTCCCAGGAAGACTGGAAATGCAGTAGTATGCAGGACCTACGATACACTGAATCAAACCTGAGCCACTGGCAAAATTCCCACAGACTTTGATGGAACCAGGATTTTGCTCATAAGCTTCAGAGCAAGGGCTTCCACACCATTTTACATATAACTTCGTTGAAAGTAACTGCCGAAAGTAGGCTTATCATTACGAATAAAATTAAACTGGTGACTGCATCAGCAAGTTGGCAAGGCTCTGCAATGGTGGGCTGGACCAACCCACCTGGGTGTGAAGCAGGCTGGCGCTTCCACCCCAGCTGTTGCTCCTTCTAGCCACCCGGCCACGTGGGGTAGGCAAAGCCCCCACTGGCTGCCCCACAGGGCAAAGCTTCTCCCCCGTCTTGCCCCCTGCAGTAGGGAGAAGCAGTGGCAGCGGCTGGGTCAGAAGCTCCACAGGCCAGATGCAATAGCTCCATGGGCTGAAAGTTGCCAGCCCCTGGTCCACATTAAATGAGACCTTTCCCTTAGTGAGTATATATCCATGCCATATCACAGAAGTATCATTTTGATCTGCATTCTTGTTGGCAGCTTCATGATAGAAGTCAAGGTCTATAGTAGCACAAAATCCATGCTAATTTTTACTCCTAGAAATGGTACCAGCAGGCTAGGACTTAGTCCCTGTAGGGGTGCAATAAGCTACCTGAGCTGTAGCTGTTCTGAGGACAGAGGACTTCAGGCTCCAGTATGGCAGCCTTAAAAACATTAAAAGCACTAAATAATTCTTTCTGAGAGGAAAAAGAAAAAGATTCCATGACTGCTGAGAGGTCCTGATTTTGTATGTTTGTTCTTGTGAAAAGTGAACGTCTTTAGGACAAACATACAACTGTGAAATCGAAAGAACAAAATGATCTTTTATCCCCATTAAAAACTGAATTCAGATATTCAATGTCCAACACAAAGCAGCAGCCAAGGTTAAGCTTTTTATTCGTTACAGGAATACTCTTGCATGCCATTGTTAGTTTAGCACAGCGTTGCAATTAGCTTTAAACCTCCGTACATAAGTGTTAAACTTCCTACTGATTCTATGCTTTCTGTAAACAGATTAGCTCTTTATCTAACTTGGGCCAATTTTCTGCAAACATTAGATTAAGGGCTATCAACATGTCATTACGACACAAGGAATGCCCCTATCATCATTGCAAACTCCAGAGCTTGACTCTCAGATATTTCACCATGACTTGACCTACACCCAGAAGTTTTGCTGGCACTGCTGTGTCAATCATCAACCCCCTAAAAAACATAGATACGCTGGCTAAAGCCCTAGAGAAGATGCAGGTGCATAACAGATAGCAAAATCCTTTTGCCAGCACAGCTTGTTCTGCCTACAGAACTGGCTTCGGGTACACCGGCGGAAGAACTCTTGCCTGGATAAGCTGCCTCTCCACTGGGGCAGAGCAGGGGTGGGACCGGGCTGCTGCTACATGACAGCGCACTACACTGGCAAATCCTTTTAAGTGTAGGTAAGTGCCAAGAAGGATTCTGGGAACCGGTGGTGGCCTGCAGACTAGAGTTTCAGAATGAGGGAGATCCTGTGGGATTGCCATATGCTGTGGTAAAATGGCATTTGAGCCTGTGTTATTCCTGCCTACTTCAAAAATGAGCCCATTTCATCGGCTGTACTAGACACCAGAGAAAGCTGGCACTCTTAAAAAGGACACTTGCAGAGGATAGGGCTGAAGCTAGCGATTCAATTTTTAAACATGTACTTAAAAATCCCTATTCCTCTCTTGTCTCTAAACAGGTCCCTAGAGTATTGCACTAAGCAAATGCTGTGGGAAGACAGATGTAAAATTCAATCACTCATTTGTATACCTTGGGATAGCTCTTTTATTTATAACTCATCTGAAAAAAAAAAATAGAACTGACTTTTCAAGCCAAGGTTTTTGCCACTGAATGTGCGTGCCCCTAAGTTAATAGATAAATATTAGAGGCATGCAGACAGACTGGATGGATGGACACACAGGAAGTTAAATGCTTAGCTGCCTGCATGATTGTGCAGTCATATCAGAAAGTATTATGCTTCAATTAGATACATGATCAGAGGTGAAAATGTGAGCCCTTCATAGGCAATCACTCAAGGTATTAAAAATAAACAGCACACTCAAGGCTGCAGATTAGGGGGATTTTTACCTCCCCCCTGTCTCCTACTGCTCAGTGTTACTTTCCCCTTGCACTGCACGCTCCTTCCTTTCCAGACACTAGCACACTGCCATGCTTGTAGGACTACAACTCTGCCTGGGAATTCGGCACCATCTGGCAGGGAAAGAACTTTACATGCAGAAGGCAGCTTATTGAAGCTACAGTATTTTAGTTATGGAGTACTCAGGAGAGCTGCACAGTCATTTCCAAATCACCCCTGACAAATCAATCATGGTGGCAGCATATTTATTCATATTAAAGTAATTCTCATTAGTTTAAACACCATGAAAGATTTTGGCTGTACTTTTTCAATATGTATTTCACTTAACTATCAGATGAAGTTTCTGGATCTCAAAATATTAAGAGGATTGATTTTGAAATAGAGCCAACTGCAAGCGAGCACCAGCAAATATGAACACACCCAGGTTTCCTGCCCTGTGCCAGCTGAGCCTGCCTCATCCAACCCCTTCCAAAAACAAATTCTCTTTGCATGACCTAGCTATTGTTTCAGTGGGGCATACTATTATTCAGCATCCCAATTTGAAAGGAAGATTGATTATGGGCATGCCAGTGAACAAAAAGCAGCTCAAACATCACATAAAATGTTTAATTATGACCTGATTATAGCAGTACTTTTGCTGAAAATGGATCACACGTGTAAAGAACTTGTACTTACTTGTCACATTTTATCTAAATGAATCCAAAAGGGCCACCCCCCCCTTGTTAAATCATTGTAGTGCAGACTCCTCTGGAATGAAATAGAGCGATTGCTGACTAGTATTTAAAAACTAAAAATATACTTTGGAAAACAAAGTGCAATTTTTATCTAGTGAAAGTGTTGTAGAATTTAGATAAGAGGAACTTATCTAACCTGTAACCTAACCAGCCAAGCTGGACTACCCACTTTATCAACTCTGAAAATCCCTAGAGGCTTATATTCATAACATAGTCTATCCCACAGCTCACTCTAAATTGTTATTTTTTCAGCAGTTGGGATCCTGCCTGAATTCTGTGCTCCAACGTACCCATATCTATTTAAATATATTTAGGTCTGTCTGCATTTAAGCTGTAGCCATGTCAATCAAGTATGTAGGGAAAAAAAATCCTGCCCCTAATACAGTTGTGCTGCAAAAGCTGCAGTACAGACCAGTGATTCTCAACCATGGTACCATGAAATCCTTTTAAGGGTGCCACAGGGGGCTGCTCAATATTAGCACTGGTAAGTGAGTAAATGCTTATAACATGATTCACAAGATAAACACACAAATTTCAAATAGGGATCCAGTGTTAAAAACATTCTCAGCTGTTGTGGTCTTTCTGAGTTCTTTGCAACAGAAGACTTGATGCTATATTAGTTAGCCGAAGTCAAAAAATGAATAAAAGCTAAGAGCTGGCATTTTCTGAGGAGTGTCCTCAGTCTAATGAGCACAGTCCTGAATCTAAAAACGTTGAGAATCACTGTTACAAAAAGAGCAGTAGTAGGAAAGCTATCCTTTTGTTGGGATAACTTGTCCTGTTCAGGGAATTAAGACATCAGGAAAAGAACTCTTCACAGGGGGAGGAGAAGAGAAAACTCATCTAATAGTAAAATTCTGCTGCCAAACCTTTTCAAGTGCAAGCAAGTCCTTATACTATACGCAATTAGACTCTAGGCCCCGTCTGAATTCGGGTGCTCTCTGTGCTGGAACAGCCATAAATATTAGTATATGTAATGGGAAATAGTTTGCTATTTTGTAATAAAAGCTGCTGCCCAATCAAGAGAAGATTGACATTCACTGAAGGGACAGGGCATGTTAAGTGAAAAGAGGAACCAAATCCATCAAATTTATCTACAAAGATTGATCTGTGGGATGAATTCACAGTTCTTTAGGTCACTCCACCCACAGGATGCAAAGCTGAAGGAAGTAAAACTGTGATGCCCCAGCACTGCAGAAGGGCTAAAAACAAAACATTGCCAGTATTTGTATGTTAGGAAGACAGTATAACTGGCAACCTTCATTCACTGCAAAGCCTGTTCCAGAATTCAGTCCCTTGCCACACTTGATACTTGGCATATGCCAAAGGGGCTGAGGTGATATACTGAGGACTGGGATTGCTGGCTGAAATGAGGAACTTTTTCTCTCCTTTCTATGTTTTTTTTAAACTGCTGCCCTTTCATTTATGGTTTAAGTTGGTACTTGCTTTTAATTGTAAATATAAAAGGTAATTAAAAGGTGCTTAAACATGCTCAGGATAGCAGGGTTTTTTTGCCCCCTCCTATATTTTGCAAAATTTTAAAGAAAGAAAAATATCAGACAGTAGAACCGAGCACATTTGTATCGAGTGTGAGGATCCTTTGTAGGTTATCAAATGGAGTGAATACTTTTCAAAGGAAAAGGAATGTATCATAGGTATGATGTTTACTATTCAGGGACCTCAGAGGAGCACTTTCTGCTAATGTGCTGCTAGCAGAGGCAATATTTATACTTATATTACATTTATAGAAGCGGCGATTTTTTTTTAATTTAGTTAATTGGAGATGTAAAGTTTCAATGCACCCTGGGTATCCTAGTTCTAAACACAGAAGCGCCAGTGCATAATTTCATGCTGAATCTTTGAAACACAATGACAAAATGCTTTTTAAAAAATTCTCTTACACTGCTGACTCGGGTCCGAGTCCGTGGTCATCTTCACGTAGTTGGAAGGAAAGAGACCTGTCATGCCATTGAGTTCCCCTTGCCACCAATCAGCATCATCTTTGCTCAGTACATTAATAAACTGCCCCTTGGAGAAACTGAGCTCATCTTCATTATTTGCCAAGTAATCGTACATTGCTATTACTTGACACACTAGAAGGAAAAACAATATTCATAAATTGGGTTAAGCAGAACTTCTTGCAGAAGATAAGTAACTAACTGCTGAAGCTTTGTAAAGCCTATTGAAAATACCAGTGGGATAAAAATCAGCTGCTTTCTGTGATATACTCTCATCAGGCTGGATAACCAATCAAAAATCCATTCAAGAGTTAACACTGCATGCTTTGATCCTTAGAAAAAAATAGGACACATGGTCCCAAAAGTATAGTAAGGTTCCCCAATGCTCTGGGGAAGCAGGGTGCTCATGTTCTAGACATGATCAAGAACCTGCAAGCTTGCACTCTACTTTTGCTCATTGGAGAAGAGCATGTAGCTCCAACTCCAACAGGTGAATATTGCAGAGTTTGGGATATAACCTTTCGTTTGGGAAACAGGTTTGCTGCAATACAACAAGACAGCACATTCCAGGACAGGAGCCACTGAATAGAGCAGCTGCTTTATAAATGTTAAGTTCCTCAGGACACGGATCATATCTTCTAATGTGTCTGTTCCTAGTCTGGCTCCTAGGTTTTACTACAGTAGGGTCAAAGATCCTCACTGGGAATCTCTGGGTGTTACTAAATCACCACCATGACTACCAGAGTAATAAACAGAAATTAATCAGTTTATTCTACGATAGCTATAACACAGACTGCTATCTGGGGTGAAAGGGTTGAATTAGCAGTGCAAAAATTACATGAACAAGATTATTTTTCTACCTGAGGCAGCAGCAGGAGTGGTTTTCTCACTGCTTGGACCCAGTAATTTCACATGGCTGGCAGGAAACCACCCCTTCTGTCGCTTTTTTCCTCTTGCCTGTAAAATGTATTTCAAGCAGTTGAGAAAGAAACAAACAAATGACCGGAGGATGGTAATAAATGCCCCACCCAGACAGTTAAGCTAACTAAAAACCACAAAATTACCCACCAAATTAAATACAAGATGGAATCTGGTTGTAGGTACTAAAATTCAGGTACTGAATTCACATAAAGCTGCACCTTATTTTTTAGCTGAGTACTAACAGCTCTAAAAAGAGACTTGTGATTTAGATTTAACTTCAAGCAGCTTAGAGGGCCTAATTTTTTCCCCTTTGATTATGAGCTTCTTCAAATCACAGCCTCACTCAAGAGGCCCAGCTCAGTCTCTACAACTCAAAATCTCACCTGGAAGCAGAGGAGGGTGCTATAAAGTAGTGGGAATCACCTTTTTGGAAAGCGTGCCACAAATTAAGCCACACATCCTTCCCGAGTACCACAGATTCCCTTCCCCTGCCATCTCTACCACATTGCTTCCTGTTTCCTGCCTTGTGCTCCCTGCCCGATCTGCTGCTCTGCTCTGCCACTGTGCTTCCTGCTCCCTCCCTAATTTGCCATGTGCCACCCATAGAGGCTGGCCGTACCACCCATGCAGGTTGGCCACCTCTGCTGTAAAACATCTCAACCGGAACTAGCCACAAGGTGGGGAAAAATACCAAGGAGAAAACAAGCAGCATCCCCACCCCCTCCCCTTCTGCAGGTGCAGGCTGGACATCTGGAGAATAACTGGCTGTGGGAAGATCTTAGTGACTCCCAGTCGGGGATCTCACTCAGCTATGGTGAACAGATCCCATTTTGTGGTGGTGGAGTGATAGGCAGTCAGGAGGAATAAAGATCCCATGCTACTTTTCAAAAGAGGTTGGGTGGGATAGTATTTGCCCCAGTGTCCTGATCACATTTTAGCTAAATTTCTCTATGGCTTCAGTGAAGCCTGATAGCAGCTTTTCAATTTTTCCACTACATAGCCATGTAAAGCAGTGAATGAATGGGTGTAGGAACAAACTTCCTTCTGCGTACAGTTTATCAGTTCAGAAAAGTACTTTCTGATCTTTCAAGATGAAAGCCATTAACTACAAGACATTGTTATGTATACACTACATAAGTTTCTCTCCTACTCCTTCAAAGAAACGGAGTAGTACTGTTATTTTTAAAAATCAGTTAAGTAGTTCTGGCTCTAATTATGTTATTCACTGCCAACGCTGAACACTTCCACACACTGGATTTCAGTGACAGGAAGAAGAGGTTTACATTTAAACTTATTTTCCAGCAGAAAAATAGGCTCTCAGTCAGATTTCTGAACATTGCACTCAGCACTGTTTTTAAATTAAATAACAGAGGTAGCCTTATTATTAATCATTATGTTAAGGTTATTTTCCCCCCCTTTAATTACCTGCAGCTCTCCTTGCCACCATCCACTAGCATTTTTCTTCAAAATAAGTATCAGCTGTCCTGGAGCCAGACTAAGCTGTTCTGTCCCAGACGCAGTGTAGGCTGTAGTAACCTGAGCAATCTCTGAAGACAGAAAAATACTAGTGTACAAATAACAAATGAAATAAAAGTAAGGGAGAGACCCACAAAGATAACCAGGCACCTGCATTCCTG